GTGATTAATTATTTTCCACTCTCCAAGTCTTTTCCCACAGACGTAACTTCGCAAGCCTCTCGCTACTCTGTCGCTAGATAACTTGCTTCAACCAACCCTGACCTTTGCAACTGGGACCCACCATGCCACCTACACACTGGTGAATCATTTCTTTCGTAGTCTATTAATACGAAGTTCGATGATTCTGGCAGCTTCTTTCCAAGAACTGCTGCGTTCTGGAACCGACTCCTAGCAGGATGTTTTCACAATGACTACAATCTGGATGTCCTTAAATTTATGACTGTTATCTTTCCTACGTAAACTCATGAACTGCACTTCACGCCTTTGCATAGGCTCATACAACACCGCATAGCAATCATCTACCTTGAGTGGCTCTTTGGCCTTGATTAGCTTGAATATTAATATAAAAATATACATAGACGTTGCTGATTGCATTTGACATGCTTGTTCATACATTTTTTTTATCTCTATAAAGGTTGGACACAAAACATTAAAAACGCATCATTGTTGTAGGTCATGTGCCATATATGGCTATAAAGTTTACAGATTAGAGTTAATCCTGTGGATTATATAGCAAGTAGGGGATTACTGGATGGAATTGACAGACCCACGCCGAACTGTTTTTGAATTCCCAGTTATCTTTCTCTTAAACTTGTTTTTAATCAAGGCTAGAGGGTCTAGTCTACCTTGCTATTTGGGAAGGTGGAGAATTCATAACAAGGTTATTTGTGCGAAAGAAAATGCATTTGCCTTGGTTGGAATTTGATCTCGGTACGACTACCCCATTTACCACACCGATAACCATTACGTATTAACCGCACCGATAACCACTACGATAATCACTAAGATAACCGACAATCCAATTACCACACTGGTAACCACTACGATAATCACTAATATAACCACTAAGATAACCGAGAATTCCATTTACCACACCGATAACCAATGGATAACCACTATGATAACCGACAATCCCATTTACTACACGGCTAACCACTACGATAACCACTAAGATAACCGACAATCCATTTACCACACCGATAACCACTACAATAATCACTAAGATAACCACTAAGATAACCAGAATTTTACCACACCGATAACCAATGGATAAAGATAACCGACAATCCCATTTACTAACCACTACGATAACCACTAAGATAACAACAAATTTACCACACCGACTAATATAATCACTAAGATAACCGAGAATTCCATTTACCACACCGATAACCACTACAATAATGACTAAGATAACCACTATGATAACCGACAATCCCATTTACCACACTAATAGCCACTACGATAACCACTAATATAGCCACTAAGATAACCAAACAATTAAGATAACCAACGATAAACACTAAGATTTACCACACCGATAACCACTACGATAACCACTAAGATAACCACTACACTAACCGACAATACCATTTATAACACCAATAGCCACTACGCTCTGCACACATCCAAAAAGGCGCATAAAACTTTCAAAATGAAAAAAAAATAAAAACGTATGCCAAGAAAGTGTACGGTTTGTTTGACGGTAATCAGCACATAAAAATGGAAATGAAGAGTCGGGTTCAAATTTCGGTCGATTCAGTTAGGTTCAGTTTCACACCCAAAACCTTAGAAATGGGCCTAAATACAGAATATAACACTACTTCTCGTATTCTTTTTCATAATTTTATTCTATTTTATTCTCTTCTCATCTATGGGTTAAATAGTAGGGTAGACTGGATTCTCTATCATTGGATGGTAGCTAGTTTGAGAAAAGAACTACTCTAAATTCACATCCGAACCATCCCAGTCTTTTTTTTGCCAAGAAATAAAGTCACTTCACAGATAATAAAGAAAAAAACAAATTTGGGGAGACATGATTACCTACGTGCCGAAGATGAATAGAATTTAAAAATAAAGAATATCATTTATGACAGAATCAAATCCTGTATATATGTTCCATGTCAGTTACCATACAGAGTAGAATCAAATCGTAGCATATTGAATGTCATTGAAGAATACAAGATTACAATATGACGGTGAAAGGTTTGGAGAATACATTGGATGCAGAATAATATTTCATGTTAGATCTGTGGATCACGTTTTATTTTACCTCAGCAAAAAGAAACGGGTCTTTTACACAGTAAAACCACCAAATGACACCATTATCTACATAGCGAAACGCTTCCTTGGTGCGGCATTGTCAAGTAACTATCTGGCCAGGTACCAGCAATTCTTAATAGAAAATTCCTTTTCAATTTCACCAAACACTGCTTACCAGTAGATTCTCTGTAGACAGAGCTGCTAAAAGTTATCCACAATCTAACCATGATTCTTTTCATTCTGGATTCTCGGATTCAATCCATTTTTATTCTCAGCAAGTAACTTTTGAGAGAAGATCAAAACCACATTATTTTTGAGGTTTTATTTCCTTATTTGAAATGAAATAACAGTTTAAATTGTTTAGTAATAACTATGCCCGAGGAAAAAAAAACATTAAGCAGAGAAAGCCATATGTAAAAGCGCTGATCCCCTTCTGCGTGAATTAAGGTGGAGCCCTTTTTCGATTATGAATTCTTCCTATGGATTATAAATGGCGTACTACTGTTAAGTGTGTTGCATCTGAGTTCATTTGTTTTACCAATTTGTATGAGTCAAAAGTTCCTCATTTTTCAAGTTCTTTCTTGTTGATCCGAAGATCTTTTTAAAACTTTGCAACTCAATTCCGTCCTCAGCGTGCTTGCATCTACTGTAGTGTTATGGAATGGTTTCACAGTGGAGGCTTGTATTTGTACTAAGTCGGTCCCAAAATAGGTTCGACGTACAAAACGTTAGGAACTTGATATAATAGGTAATGACGCAGAGAAATCTTGTTGTGGTCGCTGATACTTTAGTATTCGACTAACGGTCGTCCGACATCGACTGACCGACTCACTGAGCGACTATATTTAGTTCCCCCACCACGAGGGCATCATGTGGCACAAGGCCGGTTTAACGTGGGATCTCCGAGCCCGTGGGCTCGGCCAAAAATATGCCAATTGAACCCGTATAAACGGGATCAGGGTCGGTTTACCTCCCCGAAAGAGAATCCGCCCTTTGGCGTAGCCTCTTTCGGGTTCCTCTCTGCCCAAAAACAAAGAGTACAACCGGTCAGTCGGTCGTCCGACTTCAGACTGAACTCAGACCTCCTCACTGAGCGATTCACTTGTTACTCTTACTACTCCTACTTATTATAGGTGAGAGAGTCTATTAACTATAGAATAGGTGTGTTCCACTATAACATGTATCACCAGCTTAAGTGTTAGGGACACATTGTCGCGTTCCAGATGCTTGTTTCCCCTGAGAAAAAAAAACAGGGATGGTAAACAGTTTGGAATTTGTATTGTCCTTTCAACCATGAGTATAAATTTTCGTTTATTGACAAAATTCTCTTGAAGTACGCACAAGCTTACGCACACGAAGTGTGTAAACTTTAAATACATTTCAAAAATTTCTCTAACATTATGCCAAAAACTAACGCTGGTAATTTTTATACTAATCAATTATTTTATGCAATTATTCGCTTGGAAAATCTAGCTTAGAAAATCATTGAAATGTTTCCTTCAGAATTGGTTTTCGGTACATCTTGTTAAACCAGGTTATTCGGTGGTTTTACAGAGGTCTTATCACCCTCAACACAGTTTTCAGATAAAACGAAGCCGTAAGATAAAAAAAATGGAATAAAGCAAAGATAAGTATGCTTGTCTAAATGAAATGATTGTATATTTAAATATCATTTGACATCCATCAAGGCAATAAAGCCACTAAGGCGCAAGGGGTTACTGAGTGTTAGAGAATAAAGGAAAAATAAAATTATTAAGGTGCAAAGCAATAAAAGAACAAGAATTAAGAAGACAAAAGATAACGATTGACACTGCATTTAAATTTTTGAGGATCAACGTTGATTGAAAAAGCAAGATGCTTGAAAAGAGTTCCACAAGCCCGAGAGAAGAAACTGATAGCATAGAATTTACTGTTAAATCTAAGCATTTCAACTGTAAAATGATGGGACCTAATTGACCATCTAATACTGCCTAAAGTCGATTGCATAGTACAGCAGTAACAATTTTGCATCGCTGAAAACTTGACAATGAATAACATGGACAACAGGGAAAACATTTTGATAAAAATTGTAAAGATATATTCTAGAAATAATCATTCGTTCATTTTGTTATCTAGTAAAGTATAGAATGGTTTGATTCCTTGAATAATATCAACGGTTCGATGAAATACTGTCTAAGCTAGGTAATCGGAGAGTTTTACAATCGAGATTAAAATTTTGCCGAACAATGTTTAACGATAGTAACAATAGTCGAGTAGCAACGGTAAAACAGAGCCTCACTTCCCTCCTACAAAGAGCAGAACAGCATCGTCAGTCGAAACAGGAGCATCGTACTTTTATTGCCGAGGAGACAGTCTTAATTTTTAACTCATTGATCTGTTCTTCGATTTGAGAAAGGGTCTCTTCACTTAATCTTGCTTAATTCCATTTGCTAAGCGTTCACTTGAGAGATTTGCTGACCGGAAAGTGGCCTTCGTCTTAGAGAAAATGGCCGGGGGCCAATTCCACAACACTGTCAGTAGTCAGCCTTCCATCTAAGAGCAATCAAGCTTCTTCGTTATAAGTTATTCGACTGCCAAACAGGATAAACCACTGCTTAAAGATATTAATGCCTATTAACAGTAAGACAATAGTCTTGTGCTTTCCAATTTCTATGGCAGCAGATCCGATTAGCAAACCACACACACACACACACACACACACACACACACATATATATATATATATATATATATATATATATATATATATATATATATATATAATCTAATAATCTGGTATCCTGCTGCCAGGCGAAATTGGAATATGTATATGTGTGCGTGTGGGTATGGGTATGTTTATGGGCTATAGGTGTGTAAAGAAGGCGAGGTGGGGAGAAAGGTTGGGAAGGTAAAACGAATTATATGAAATAAAGTAAAAGATAGAGAGAGATTTTTAATGAATAATAATAATAATAATAATAATAATAATAATAATAATAATAAAAACGAGAGCAATAAACAGAGGAGGAGAAAGAAAAGGAAAAAATATTGTAGAAAATGAGAAAAGGTGACTCAGTTGGTACATGAAGAAAAGAATCATGGAAGGAATGTAGAAGAAAAGGTAAAATAAAGACGAAATGATAAATAAAAGAAAAAATGGATGGATAGAGATTGACTAGATAGCTAGATAGATAGATAGATAGATAGCTAGATAGATAGCTACCTAGATAGATAGATAGATAGATATGAACAGATTGAGATAGATAGATATAAACAAATTGAAAGATAGATATATATATAAATATATAAATATATATATATATATATATATATATATATATAAGAAATGGACAAGGTCCGACAATTTATTTATTAAATTAATTAATAATCAATTAATTTATTAATTAATAAATAAATTGTCGGACCTTGTCCATTTCTTAACATATCGTCATTTGTTTACATTCTTAGAGCAGTTATGAATATACGAGATTCATCATTTGTTTTAAGCAGTAAAATTCGACCGAACGCCTAGAGGAGCAGTATATGACGGTTCCGTATAGGATGCAGGTTCGAATCCTGTCAAAGAACGAATATTTTCTATGAAAATTTCTCGGACATTCAGGCTGGTAAATGGTTTATCATAAACAAGCATTTGCTTAAATACTTGTTTATAAAATAACAACGTTAAACATAAATAAAAATGTCTTTAATAAATAAATTTCGGACCCGTCCATTTCTTAACATATGACGTCATTTGTTTTACATTCGATACGCCAGAGCAGTTATGAATGTACGAGATTCATGGAAGCGTTTATGATTGTTCCATAAGGTTATGGATGGTTAAGGCACGTCAGCGTATATGACGGTTCCAAAGGATGCAGGTTCGAATATTTTCTATGAAAAATTTTTCTATGAAAAACTTCTCGGACATTTAGGCCGGTAAATGTTATTTAATACTGTTTATCATAAACAGAGCATTTGCTTAAATACTTGTATCTATAAAATAACAACGTTAAACATAAAAAAATGTCTTTAATAAATATATATATATTGAACAAACGGATATGTTATATATATATATACATATATGTATGCGTGTGTTTGTATAGAAATAGATATATAGATTGATAGATAGATATGAACAAATTGAAATATATATATAGAGAGAGAGCGATAGATAGATATAAATAGACTGAAAAAGACGTTTCTGCTAGCTAGCTAGCTCGCTAGCTATATAGATACATACATAGATATGAACAGACGGATATGTAATGTATGTATACATATACGTATGTGTGAATGTGTATAGAGATAGATAGATAGATAGATAGATAGATAGATAGATCGATAGATCTGAAAAGATTTAAATACGTAGGTCTGAAGTGACGAAACAGATATATCTAAAGAAAATTAGATAGATCTGAAGGGACGTAGATAAATAGGTTTGAAGAGAATTAGATAGATAGATAGATAGATAGATAGATAGATAGATAGATAGATAGATAGAGATGGATATCGATTGACTGAAAGAGACTATCGTTTGAAAATCTAGGAAGAAATAGAATAAACAAAACCTGGAGAGAAGGCGAGAGAGAGAGAAAGTTAAAATGTGTGTGTGAATGGAAGGAATGATGGGAGAGGCTGAAGCATCAGTATCAGTATCAGAGGAGGAGGAGGAGGAGGAGAAGAAGAAGAAGAAGAAGAAGAAGAAATCTGTAAGGAAGAAACATTTGCAAAAGACAGGTTGGACAGAAAGAGAGATATGATTGGAAAAGATCGACAGAGATACAGAAAGAAAATGGAAGACAGGGAAAAATGCGGTGGAGAAAAGAAAGCAATAAAAAGAAAAGAACAGTAGTGGAATATTCTGTTAACATCTTGAATCCCATAATATCACTGTTTTTCTCTCCCACTGGCTGAATTCCGTTAAATGCCTGATCTTACATCTAAGGTCCTTTAAGAACACACGCATTAGGCCAAGCTTTAGAACACAATACTTCATATAAAGACAATTATGGATTATTGCACTTTGTCATTCATTGGGCCGGATTACTGATCCTCAGTTTAATATCGACAAGAAAAATTAAGAAAACAATTTTTTTTACATAAATTCATATCTAAACATAAATTCCAACAGTTTCGTCCCCGTAAGAACGAGATTTGGGAAAACGTGTTTATAAAACAAGTTTGATCCTTTCAAAACAATCTTATACTCTTTATTTCCTTGAATTTAGTTTGGTACCGGAGTGAGGAAATATATATTTAGACATTATTCTTTGACAAGCCTCAATTAATTCTAAGTAACTGCAATTATTAACTTACCATTTTTTAAAGAAAGTGGAAAATAAATAAATAGATAAATAAATAAAAAGACATATACGTAGAATCAGAAAGATGCTGTTAAATTTTGTGGACGCCATTGTTGAAAGATGATGTGGAGAATTTGTCACTCGCAGGACAAGAAGGAGACGAGAGAAGCATTGTAAAAGGCTTGTGTAAATGGATGTCAGAGCAGAAGCACAGTTAAAAGAATGATGAGATCGACAAGGATAAGAAGTTGTGGAGAGTCATGATCTTCGCAAGATACGTGGTGTACAAAACAAAACATTTGTACTCTACCCTTTGGAAAGGTCTTAATATCTCTTTTCTTTCTATAACATACGGATTAAATAGCAGTATAGATTCGGGTCTGTAATCTTGGTTGACACCCAGGCTATGAGAAGGAAATCTTTGAATTCGGAACCGAGGAGAAAGCAGCAGAAAACGATTCGCTATCATTTCTTTTTTTACAGTAAGGTTCAACCTTTACAAGGCCCGGGAGCCACTTGAGGTAGAGGGTTACGTTAGGATGCCGTTTGTGTGTATAAGAGTGGAAGATAACAGTTGTCTTTAGCCATGGACATGCTTAGATTGTAGTGATCAGGGAACCATCCTGTTGGGAGTCCGTTACACAGTCCGCAGGAAGAAGCTGCTCGTGTGGAACTCACATCACACCGGTGGAATACGGAGGGATTGTGGGTGGTTTGCGGACTATGTAAGTGGCATGGCGTGTTCTTGCCGTGAAGTTTGGATTTGGCGGGGCGAAGGAATGTAATTCTTCGGAGCACTTTCCGTTGAAGAAGCGCTAGAAAAGAGAGAGGCTTGTCACATCACACCCGTGGGAGAGATGTTGAAAGGTGAAGAATAATTCGTCACCCACAGGGGCACGGAGATGATTTAGGGTTTTATCAAGACTTGAGAGTGAAGTCCAGGCAGCTCCTGCCAAAATATGGCAACAGTACTCTATTTTTGGTCTGATCTAGCTCTTATAAACGTAGAGCATAGCACGAGGAGTCGGGTACTTACTGGAACGGTACAGGGAGCCGATCATTTTACCTAGATCTTTAGCGAGAGATCGTATATAGGAATTTCACTTCAGGATGGGTATAAATATACTCTCAGTATACCCTGTAGTCTCTCAAGGCAGGGTCTGATCGGCTATTACGATATGAAACTCGTTTCTAAATCAACGTTTCAATTAAATGTTTTCAGCATTTTGCTTGTGCACCTTTTTATATCGGAGAGCCGAGTTCGAATTTCAGTCGAATCCATTACATTCACTTACGTACTAATACCCTGGGGAAAGGTAAGAATGCTCTTCATCTCCCCCGCTCAGCTATCGGTAAATAGCAGGACAGACCGGGTTCTATAGACTTCGATATCGACTGGTCTACCGCAGAAAGAAATGGCAACCAACTGCGGGGGAAAAATGCCTCGTCAGTCATGTATCGAAAGATAAATGATCGTCTAAGCGTGTATCACGCATGGCATATAACTGACTAACTTTTTTTTATATCTTTTAAATACGTTTTGTTTGCTCATTTTGAGGTTTTATGAGAAATAGAATTATTTCATTACACTCAAGAGTTACCCACGAAAATGAAATATACGTCAAGCTGCAAGTGAATTCTCTTTTATTTATAAAGCACTATCTCATTCTGTTCATCTATCTATCTCATTCTGTTTATCTATCTATCTATCTATCTATCTATCTATCTATCTATCTATCTATCTATCTATCTATCTCATTCGGTTTATCTATCTATCTATCTATCTATCTATCTATCTATCTATCTATCTATCTATCCAGATGCATGAGCAACCACAGGATTTATACACACAAGATGAAGTGCACACAGACATACATATGAGTTTAGCTGTACAATACATGCACATATAGATATGCACGTAAATACACACATAAGCACATAGATACGCTTGCATATACTTATGCTTATAAACAGTAAACATGCAAGAGCTATACTTTAATTAAACGTGTATATATATATATATATATATATATATATATATATATATATATATATATATATGTGTGTGTGGGTTTGTGTCTGTGCATTTGTGTGTGTCTTTGTGTATGTGTGCCATTTTTATACAAAGAAATGAGTATATATTGGGTGAGTGCAAATGTTTCGATCACACATATTTTGGAAACATGATACCGAATAGACGAATTTTTTAAATAATTGTTTCTGGAAAGTTTCGTATATATGTTTTGTAAAATATATATATATATATATATATATATATATATATATATATATATACTCATCCATCTAATAAGAATTTATCGATTCATCGCATTCATCTTGAAATTGTTGAATGTTCATCTTTGGCTTTTTACAACGTGGACTCCGCCCCTTGCCATTTTTTTTTATTACAACTCCCCCCCCATTTCTTTTTTCATCCACATATTCGCAGATTGTTGCTCCTTTCCTAGCTTCAGCAAAGAAAGAAAATCCGATATTACTGTGCCCTGCTCGAGAGAAAATGTTATTATTTGTTTTCCATACCCAATTTTTAGTCTCCCAATGGATACAATGGGCGAATCTTTTACATATTTTGGTAAGAATGATTTGCAAGAAGTATTCTATTTTTCGGAGAGTTGTTTTCGAGATGCCGCACTAAAGGTTTTCAAAATACATCGCAGGAGAAGAGAATTACACACATGCGCGAGAGGACAAACTCACAGCCACATATAGACATTATAGGTTTTCATTCTTTTATCCGATTTCTCTCTCTCTCTCTCTCTCTCTCTCTATATATATATATATATATATATATATATATATATATATATATATATATATATATATATATATATATATATATATATGTTATACTGCAAAAATATATATATATATATATATTATACTGTAAAAAATCAAAATTAGCTCATGCGAGCATTCTCTGTGGATCAGTTTTAAGATCTGATATTACTAGAATTTACCCAGATTATATACCAAAAACACTATACCGAAATGGGGTAATTTGGGGATTTCTTGCTGTATATATTTATATGTTCGGTTATAATAAATAGATTGAGCTCTATTTATGGATCAGTTTTAATATCTTATATTACTAGGATCCACCCGGATTATATACTAACAGATCCATTACCTGTACTATATATATATATATATATATATATATTAAAAATATGATTCCATCGCTACATAAGAGTTCTCATGTTTCAAAATAAGAGCCAAAACCTTCAATATAATAATTTGAATTAAATTGAATTAAAGTACCATGTTCTGTTCCATCATCAAGCGAAATTTTTTGGGATTCCAAAAATAAAAATTCGGTTGAAGTTGGAACAGAGCTTGCTACTTTAATTCAATTTAATTCAAATAATTATATTGAAGTTTTCGGCTCTTGTTTTGAAACATGAGAACTCTTATGTAGCGTGTTGGAATCATATTTTTAAATAGATAATTACATTTATGCTCTACTTTTGTATCGAACACTATACTTTAAAAATAATAACAAAAATGCTAAAGAACCTTTGATTATTTACTTAACGAGTTGTTTCCTATTTTCTATATATTTGTACACACACACACACACACACATATATATATATATATTACAGTTCTAATCATTTCAATATATATATATATATATATATATATATATTACGATAAACGTGCAATCAATTTACAAATTCATGAATTATTCACACAAAAACAAAAGCAAAGGTTAATGATTTAATTGGCGAGAAATCCATCATCGCAAACAATTCAAATAATATACAAAAACCTCCGAATCCGTTATGAATGAAATGATCCTTGTTTCCATAAATCTCTGCCGTATTAGTTCATTCATAACGGATTCGGAGGTTTTTGTATATTATTTGAATTGTTTGCGATGATGGATTTCTCGCCAATTAAATCATTAACCTTTGCATTTGTTTTTGTGTGAATAATTCATGAATTTGTAAATTGATTGCACGTTTATCGTAATTTAAATAACTGATCCAAGTGCGACTTTTGGATAATAAGTGCGACATTACTGTAATTATTGAACAATATAGTTCATGCCACTTTGACAGAAAATTTACCAGTAAAAAATTCGTTCATCACCATATTTATACGAACGCACAACCTTTAAAAATTTAAAATCAAACTCAGCGTTGCTACTGCGCGCTCCAAAAACAATAACTCATTTTCAATAGCATTTTCGGATACAACAATACATATATTTTCGTTGTCCTCTTATTACTAAGAGAAAAAACAAGAACAACATCTATTCTATACCTGAAGATGTCTGTAGGAACAGACGAAAGCTTGTAGTAAAAATAAGAACTAATACGGCAGAAATTTATGGAAACAAGGATCAATTCATTCATAACGGATTCGGAGGTTTTTGTATATTATTTGAATTGTTTGCGATGATGGATTTCTCGCCAATTAAATCATTAACCTTTGCTTTTGTTTTTGTGTGAATAATTATGAATATATATATATATATATATATATATATATATATATATATATATATATACACACACACGGATACACACACACACACACACACACACACACACACATATATATATATATATATATATATATATATATATATATATATATATATATATATCGGTGTAACAGAAAAATTGTCCAATTGTTAGATTAACCTTCGAACCATTGTATCTTAGAAATGATTAAAGATATCTTGCTGGAATTCCCCAGTTTTTTTTTTTTTAACACAATTGGACTCTACTTTCAGCAATAATAATTACTTTCCAAACTTGACAGAGAAATCGTGATGAAATCGATCATAAACTAAAATGTCATGTTCATCATTAATTAAAGATAGGAAGCTCATGAAGGATTGAAATAAAGTTCAAAATATATATATATATATATATATATATATATATATATATATATATATATATATATATAACTAAATATAGTTTTAAGGTGTGTTTTATATTTTTGGGATAAAGTGCTCAATCTCAGAGATAGAGCGTATATATATATATATATATATATATATATATATATATATATATATATATATATATATATATTATTATTATTATTATTATTATTATTCCAGGATCATTGTACAATTTATTCAGGATGATCTTTGCTCTCCCTAACCTTTTAACATTCTAGTATCCTTTAGTAACAAGGTCTTTCACAGGTTTATCGTACGATTTCATTTTCAAGTCTTTTGATCACTGCTCTTTGGACTGTCATAGCTGAAACTCTTCTCTCATATGCGAAATGTGTTACGGATTGAGTTGGATCTTTTCTAATTGATCTCTTTAGCTCTAAGTTGAAATGATGATCTCTCTTGCTGTCGTGACCTCTTGATCCAGATTTCCTCTCTACATTTCCCTCTTTTTAAAAACTTTTTCACCGTTCTCTTGATGCTTCGTGAATGGAATTTGTAAATGGAAGCCAGATTATTAATGTTGGTACCATTACTGAAGCCTTGAATGATTTTTCCTTTCACCATTGCTCAGTTGAGAAGACAGTCGGACTAACACAAAACGATTTTAAACTGTTCTCTTTCTAGCTGAATAACTCAAATGGTTTTTCAGTAATTCTTAATCTTAACAGTATCAAGATGGCTGGACGTCTAATCCGTAAATCTGTCGAAAAGAATCTCAATTAGATTTGTGGTTTTTTATTGCTGGTAATATTTTCCTTAAAAATGCACTGCTGGTAATATTTTTTCCTTCAAAAATGTACAGCTGGTAATATTTTTTTCTTCAAAAATGTATTACTGGTAATATTTTTACTTCAAAATGTATTGCTAGTAATATTTTTCCTTCAAAAATATATTGTTGGTAAGATTTTGTCCTTCAAAATTGTATTGCAGGCAATATTTCTTCCTTCAAAAATATTTTGCTGGTGATGTTTTTTTCTTCGAAAATGTACTGCTGGTAATATTTTTCTTTCAAAAAATGTATTGTTGGTAATATTTTTTCCTTCAAAAATGTATTGCTGCTAAAGTTTTTTCCTTCAAAAATGTATTACTGGTAATATTTTTTCCTTCAAAATGTATCGATGGTAAGGTTTTTCCTTTCAAAAATGTATTGTTGGTAATATTTTTCGTGAAAATTCTGACTGATCGACGTTGATGGAATGTTACTACTTTGGTTTTCGAGCCATTGAATGTAACTAAGCAGTTTTTCACTCTGTTATAGCGAGGCCAGAGAAGAGATTAGCTGTCAAGCTCTGGTCATCTAGAGTTGTATAATCAGTCTAGATATTCATAAATGATCGGAGAAAACACATAGGCAAATATCTTAAGTCCATCAGTCAGTCAGTTATGTGCCATACATGATACACACTTAGGTGATCATGTATCTTTCGATACATGACTGACGAGGCAGATTTTTCCCGCAGTAGACTTTCATTTTTTTTTCTGAGGTAGACCAATAGAACCCGGTCTGTCCCGCTATTTAGCGATATCTAGGGGTGGGGAAGAAAAAGAGGATTCTTTATTAGCACGTAAGTGAATGTAATGAGTTCGACTGGAATTCGAACTCGGTTCTCCGATTCATCAGTCCGAACCGCTATCCATTACTCCACCTTGCTTCCTTAAGTACGTAATAGTGATAAACAATAGCATACATATTTTTTTTGTTTTAAGTTTTAGTCCCAGTGTTTCCCTGGGTTCCTCATAAACTAACCTAAAAAGAACAGTATTTTTAATAAGAGTTGAAACAAATAAAAAAAGGTAGTTGTTCTGTATGATTCAGCGCAAGGTTGTTTTGTTTGATAAATTTCTAATCCTGTAAACATGTGTAGGGGCCGCCGTGTACTGAGAAGGAAATCTATTGCCATTCGTTCACTGAAACTGATAGAGTATTAAAAAGGTTTTCTGTAGGATTTAATTTGTAGCTTAAATAATATTTGTGTATCAGGAGATAAATTTATAATCCTGTAAGCAATGTTGCACTTAAAAATGCCGAATGTAGATGGTTGGACATATGTGCTTGAGGTACCGAATGATAGAATTATTGCTTTTCTGTTAATTCAACACGATGGGTGACCGCTAGATAGATAGATAGATAGATAGATAGATAGATAGATAGATAGATAGATAGATAGATATGAACAGACTGAGATAGATAGACAGATAGATAAGAATAGACTGAGATAGATAGATAGATAGATAGATAGATAGATAGATAGATAGATAGATAGATAGATAGATATGAACAGACTGAGATAGATAGATAGATAGATAGATAGATAGATAGATAGATAGATAGATAGATATGAACAGACTGAGATAGATAGATAGATAGATAGATAGATAGATAGATAGATAGATGAACAAACTGAGATAGATAGATAGATAGATAGATAGATAGATAGATAGATAGATAGATAGATAGATAGATAGTGAACAGACTGAGATACATAATCCTGTAAGCAATGTTGTACTTAAAAATACCGAATGTAGATGGTTGGACAACTTTGCTTGAGGTACGAAATCATAGAATTAGTGCTTTTTTTTTAGTTCAACAAGATGGTTAGACGGAAACAGCGAATAACCTGCCTAAAAAAAGCTTGTGTCAATGGATGGTTGAACAGGGTGTGATGAGAGCTGCTTGAAGTGGAATTTACATCTCATCAAGGGAATACAGAGGGAGTGAGCGTAGTTCACTACTTGGTACTTGGATACTGGATAGATAGATAGATAGATAGATAGATAGATAGATAGATAGATAGATAGATAGATAGATAGATATGAACAGACTGAGATAGATAGATAGATAGATAATGAACAGACTGAGATAGATAGATAGATAGATAGATAGATAGATAGATATATAGAGAGATAATGAACAGACTGAGATAGATAGATGCATAGATAGATATGAACAGAGTGAGATAGATAGATAGATAGATAGATAGATAGATAGATAGATAGATAGATAGATAGATAGATAATCCTGTAAGCAATGTTGCACTTTAAAATGCCGAATGTAGATGGTTGGACATATGTGCTTGAGGTACCGAATAATAAAATTATTGCTTTTCTGTTAGTTCAACACGATGGGTGATCACTTGGGAATTCCATGCGATGTAAGCCTGGATATGCCGGTGGTGTAATGGATAAAGGCTCAGGATTGTTAATCGGTGAGCAGAGTTTCAATCCCCGCTGTGTTCTCTATATTCAAATGCCCTTGGGAAACATATGAATCTATCTCTTCTCCCCCACCAGATATGTGTTAAATAATAAGACTTGTATAATTAAACCATTTGATATGTCCCGGAAAGGTATATATTTGAACGAAGTCGCTAAGTGGTTTTGGCTACTATAACCAAGTAGAATATGGTAGCAGTAATCGACTGGTACGCGTCGTAGTCGCAGGTAAGAAGTGTAGATCAATGGCGTAGTCCAATGGGCGTCGTTATAGACTTAGCTCTCAGACTAAGGCTCTTGACTCTCCTACATGTCCGTCGGTATTTATGACGAACACCAGCTAATCATATTCCAGTGAGGGGGAACACAGGTGTACGCATATTCCATTATATCACCATTATTATCTAAGCAAAATTCTTACAATCTAAAAAGTATTTTCTGATTTGAACTAACCTACAAATGTTTCATAAGACGTAGTAAACGAATTTATCAGCTGACGGCCGCATCACATTGAAATACCGGTTCTCGTGTGATTACCGAAGTTAAGCAACATCGAGCCTAGTTAATAACTAGATGGATGACAGATTGGTAATAACATGTGTTGTAAGTTTCAGTGTGCGGGTATCTAATTGTTTGGGATTGGAAAATCGGAGAGCCGTGTTCCAATTACAGTTGAGTTCGTTATATTCACATATGTACAAATCCTCTTGGGAAAGGTAAGAATCCATTTATTCTATAATTAGTAAGACTAAGACTCGTGCAACTAAACCATTATTATTTCCAATAATGAAATTATGACTGTGTACAAAATATTAAGATTTCGACATTAAATAACCGACAAATTGTTGATATACCGCTCAAAAAACCAACCAAGGAATTAATCAAGCAATTTTGTATATTTACCGAATTCATTCGGTGTTTAATTACCTTCTCAAAATATTCTCGATTTTTCTTAATAGTAATAATACATATGTACATACAGGCACACACACAAACACACACACACACACACACACATATATATATATATATATATATATATATATATATATATAGGTTATAAAAATAATGACGTAATGATGTCGTTTTTTGACGTTAAAAATACGTCCAAAAAACGACATTATTACGTCAAATTTTTGCACGTCCAAATATATATATATATATATATATATATATATATATATATATATATATATATATATATATATGTGAGTGTGTGTGTGTGTGTGTGTGTGCGTGTGTGCGTGTGTGGATGTGTGCACACCTCCCTATTGCTGTATGAGTGAAATAAGCTAATATTGCCTTCGTTGGATTTTTCTGAAAAATATATATATATATAAAAAAAATGATAGGAAAATGTTTTTTTTTTTTTAAAAACTTGAAATTATATCCTTTTGTATCTCGCTTATAAATAGTACACGTCTGTCCAATTCAGTGTAATTGGTGGGGGGTTAAACCTATATTAGATATAATTATATAGCCATACTCATCAAAGTTATTTTCTGTTGTTTTTAAACGATATCAAGAGACGCGTCTATCCACACTTACATATTCGGTTGGGATAGAAGTCCGTAGTGGTTTTGAGAGTTGCCATTTGAACAGGTGATTTCGTTTCAAACGTGACTGGAATTCATGTCTAGATATGTGACGTGACGTCATTTTCATGGCAACTGCTCTGACGAGCTTGTTTTCCCCTTTTGCCTCGACTACATGCATTCAAGCGTGCTACTAGATTGGCATCTAGGTCCCACCCTTTTGATGCTAGCGGAAACCTCCCACTTCTACTCCAACAGTTTCCTTTCTCGCACTTACCGCTTGTGGAACTTCCTTCCGCTTACTTGCTTCCCTTATAACAACAAGTTATAAAAATTTAAATGCAACATCAATCGCAATCTTCAGTCTTCTTGAATCCGATTCATCTTTTGTCCTTTCCTCAATCCTCCCTATACTCACTCTTCTCTTTCACTTAAACTTCCTGTAACCTCCTGCATACTAGTGGCATTTCCCGCCCTGCTTGCGGTGAAATGATATAAAAATACATATTCTAACATTTCAACCTGCCTTTCGCTAAGTTTCGTCTTGTAGATTTTTAAAAAAATCGTTTTTTTTAGTTAAATAAAGTAAAAAGATTAATTTGCTGTTGTGGTAAAGCAACGACTCATCTGATAGTAGCAGATAGAAAATAGCAAGGAGGGTAAATGTTATGATGTTAATTTGGGGTTAATAAAGACAAACGCCAAATAACATGTAACAATAAAATGGGGTTTATTCGGTTGGTAAGTTGGTACAGATATCGCCTGAGTAGTCTATAACTAACTCAGCCCAAGAACTTCTTCTACACTGTCTTTTGACATGCCACTATTTAACGTCCTTGTTTGTAGACGAGTTCATCTTCAAGAGGGGTGGTAGGTTCCTACACAACAGTAAACGACAAATAGTGTCACACGTCCAACCTTCTCACGAGCAAAAAGCCAAGTTCCCGAGGACCGACCGTAATTTGCATGCGAATGACGAGACAACGAGTTTTCGCGTTAACTGTCCGAGACCGCCTGGCATAAAACATGGGCGCCGCCATTTTGGTTCTTCACTGTTGAACACCCTGAGTTTGTACGACACACAGATACGTGAGCGTTTCCGAGGTAGGCCATTTTCACAATTTTTCTCCACATTTGCCTCGTTTAATGACCTTTTATTTCCGGGAAGGGAAACACACTGTATAAACAGCAAAAGCGATATGTACCATTTACAGAGATGGTACCATAACCGAGAGTATTGTTTTTAAGTGGTTCGTTGCGTTCAGTTGGAAATTTTGATCTGGAAGACCAAAGAACAAAAACGGATTTACAAATTTCCAAACATTTTATTTGAAATTCAGTTATGGTAACTGCTCCGATGAGCTGCTTTCGCTGGTTCTCAGACTTCATAAATTTAAGCGTTCTTCTAGGCTGGAATCTCGCTCTCATCCTTTCACTGTCGATACTGTTAAATGCAGCCGTCTCTTTTACTCCAATAGCTTCATGTCTCGCAACTCTCGCCTGTGGAACTCCCTCCCCTTTTCCTCTTTCCCTGATAGATATAATCTCCAACTATTCAAATGTAATGTCAATCAACTTCTCCCGATGCCTTGATCTATCCCTTATCATTCTCTTTATTTTTACTTCTATCACTCCACTTTGCTCTCGCTCCACCTCTCTGTAACCCCTTGCGTGTTAATGGTTTCCCGCCTTGCTTGTGGTGAAACGCTTAAAAAAAAAAAAAAAACATTTCAAATTGTCGTTTCTGGCTAATACAAACTGGCTCAGCGGCTCAGACACCCAAAGTATACTAGATTTCCTAATGTCGAATATCTTCTTTCTAAAACGCATGAACGAAGTTATGCATACGACAATAATGGTGGGTCACCGCGTGAAGATTGAATTTACGAATTTTTGAGCTAGCAATTAATTACAATATTTTAGGCGCCCGCAAATGAACAACACAGAATTGGATTCGATAGGTGATGACGGCAGCAATTTTAGATACTGATTTCCAAAGCAGATAGTGTCTGGATACCAAAAGGCTTACATTTACTACTGTTTACCCAATACAGATCCGAGTGACATTGAATGTTTAGGGTCACTGAATTATTTTGTCGTAAGGACGTACAAAGAGGGGGACAAAAGATATGAACATGAATGGTTTGGTTTGATTTATTGGTTTTTTTTACGGCATATCAACCTCAATGGGTTATTTAATGCCGACAACATTTTTTATTGCTGGTAATATTTTCTTTTTATCAAAAATCTGTTTCTGGTAATATTTTTCCTTCAAAATTGTATTGCTTCCAATAATTTTTTTGAAAAGTATTGCTGGTAATAGTTAACTATCTGCCCATAGCTGCGACCCTAACATGTGCTACTACCCTGGTTCAGGGTGTACCTGGGAACACCAGCAATTAAGAGGTGGTTCTAAGTTCCTCAAAACCTCCTGATCAGAGGCCTTGCTGCTGGATGTAGTTTAACGTCTTACCCAGGACAATGAACATGAATGTATGATAGATAAGGGTTTATCCTAGCCTTGAAGCGTTAAAGTTGTATTGATCGGGGAAGCATCCTCTCGGGAGTCTGTTCCACAATGGAGAAGGAGCTGTCTGAATAGAACTTACTAATTATCACTCGAATTTAAAGGGGCGTCTCTGATGGATGTGGCGAAGAGGTCAAACCCAAACATCTGACACGAAAGCAGTGAGGGAGTAGCAAGAGGTTAGCATCGTTTTGTCTGTGAGAAAGAGGTTGAAGGGTGAAATATAATTCAGCCTCCACAAGGCTGAGCAAAGTTTTTTTTTTTTTTTTTTAACCCTGTCAAGGCTGGAAAATGAGGATTTTCCAACACCAACTCAGATATGGCAAAAAATCTCTATTTTGCGTCTAACGATGCTCTTTTAAAGGCAGAGAATGGCAGGAGGTGTCAGATACATTCTGGACATTTTTTCCAGCACCTTTAGCGAGGGATCGTATATCTGAGTTGCAGCTGAAATCTAGGGTGAAATTTACTCCAATAGATGCGCGAAGGCATGGTACTTCAATGTCTGTCTTATCATCTAGCTAGAAAAAAACAAAACAAAACAAAGCTAATGTGCTATACAGAAAAATTAATACAGGATGCGGCTGAAAAACCTCCCACATATAACCCCTGCTACATAATGGTAAGACATTATCTACAAGGTGCGGTCGGAATATCACCCACATTTTAAACTGTGACCACATAGGTGCTAGTGAACTTAGACAAGTGGCATTGATGTCTTCATCTTTTATTTTCATAAGCATTTCCCCCAGTCACGGTGGGATTCTACTTGTACGCAAGGGGTTACAGAGAGTGAAGCAAGACAAAAGACTGTGTATAGGCGGGGATTGAGGAAAGGAGAAAAAGAAGAACAGTGATTAAACCATCAGAAGATGTCGATTGACATTACATTCCAATTTTGGAAGATTATAGCTATCAGTGAAGCAAATAAGAGGAAGGGAGTTCCACTGCTGGGAAGCGCGAGAGAAAAAGCTGTTGAAGTAAAAGAGGCGAATATATTTAATTGTTTCTACAGTAAAAGGGTGGGACCGAGATGTCACCCTAGTCGCACGCTTATATTCATGCAGTCGGGGCACCAGTGAAAATAGCTTGTCTAGGTAATTCTGATGGATCTTGTAGTTCATGTCTTACCTTTAGGGGGGGTATTGCTGGGAGGTATATGTGTGTCTGGGGGTCGGTAATATGCCGCACTTTCTATTTTGTGCTGAGATGGAAAAGTCCGTTATTTTTAAAAGTCGAAATGATACTGGAGTGAAGATTTAAGAAGTATATATATATAAGGTATATATATATATATATATATATATATATATATATATAGTTTATAAACTAATCTCCTGGTCGGTATCTGAGTTGACTTTTTCTGAGCCTGGCTGCCTAAATAGCGCTCCTTATTTTTTTTATGTAACTGATTAGAGATCGACAAAAAAAAAAAAAAAAAAAAAACATCTTTCCAGCGTCGTCTTTACATTTGACTCGTTATCTTTTCACAGCACGACGTAATCTTCTTAAACCCCTTTAGATATCCCTGGATCCAATCCCAGTATATGGCTCTAACTTACAGGAAAAGCTAAAGATACACATATCTGCACCCAGATAAAGAAGAGAGTGACAAGCAGATAGAAACAGGGTGAGAGAGAAAGAGACAGAGAGAGAGAATGAGAGAGTAAGAGAGAAACAGAGAGAGAGAGAGGACAGATTAGCAAACAGAAACTGGTAAGAGAGATATATAGAAACATAAAGAGATAGACAGACAGACAGATAGATAGATAGGCGTACAGAAAGAGAGATAGATAGATAGATAGGCGTACAGAAAGAGCGATAGATAGATAGATAGGCGTACAGAAAGAGATAGATAGATAGATGAATGGGCGTACAGAAAGAGAGATAGATAGATAGATAGGCGTACAGAAAGAGAGATAGATAGATAGGCGTACAGAAAGAGAGATAGAGATAGATAGATAGATAGATAGATAGATAGATGAATGATCCCTCAGAAGAGATAGATAGATAGATAGGCGTACAGAAAGAGAGATAGAGATAGATAGATAGATAGGCGTACAGAAAGAGAGATAGATAGATAGATAGATAGGCGTACAGAAAGAGAGATAGAGATAGATAGAGAGGCGTACAGAAAGAGATATAGAGAGAGATAGAGAGGCGTACAGAAAAAGAGACACGTGGACAGAGAAGAAAACAAGGAAGAAAGTGAGAGAAAGACACAATGAGACAGAGAGACAGCAACAGAAAGAGTCAGAAACAGAAAATAACAGCGAGACAGAGAGAAATGCACAGAGAGCGAGAGAGAGAGAGAGAGTGAGAGAGAGAGGGGGCATACAGGTAGATTGATGGACAAACAGAAAGAGAGAATAAAAGAAAGAGTGAAAAAGACAGATACGAAAATAGTGAGAGAATGAGAGAGGGAGAAGAAAGACATATATACAGACAAACTGAGAGATGTTATTGAATATGATAAACAAGGTGGGTGCTGAAAGTTCTCGGTTTGACGCACTTCTCAAATTACTAAATATCAGATTTTCGAGGGGAAGTGCTTTTTTCACGTCGAGCATAAAAAGGAATAAGTGGAGAGCCATGATCGCTTACATCTTGAAGGGTCGTAGAACATTAAAAATATACCAGGCGAACCATCTGATCCTTTTAACTATCAACCTATTAATCTTCTACCAGTTTTTGGCATTGGTGGAGTAATGAATCGCGACTCGGATTGAGGAATCGGAGAGCCGAGTTCGAATTCCAGCCGAATCCATTATATTCAGTGACGTATTAATACTCTTGGGAAAGGTATGAATCCTCATCTCCCCTCCCTGCAATGGGTAAATAGCAGGACACACTGGGTTCTATAGCCCCTGGATGGCAATTGGTCTACTGCTGAAAGAAATGGCAACCCACTCCGTGAAAAAATCTGCCTCGTCAGTCATGTATCGAAAGATACATTATTACCAAAGCGGGTATCACGTATGGCACATCATTGACTAGAAGATCTAATTAATTTTGGATTGGTTAAGCACCTCACATCTCAGGGTCTTTTTCAGATAGGCAATATGGCTTTCGTTTCTCTTGGCCAATTCCTGATGTGTTGACGATTATTGCTGAAAGAGTCTATCAAGCCCTAAATAAGAATAGTGAAGCTGGAGTTTTGGATATCTCGAAGGAATTTAACAGAGTTTGGCATATTGGTTGTCTTCACAAGTTGAAAGGTAATGGTATCTCTGGACGGAGTTTGGAACTGATTCAATCTTTCTTATAAAATCGCGAAAGAAAAGTTGTCTTGAATGGCCACACTTCTAGATGTTTTTGCCTAAAAGCAGGGGTTCCCCAGGGATTTACCCTGAGACTTACGTTGTTTCAAAACTTTCATAAATGACCTTACTGATGTCATCAGTTCTCAATTTGCTATCTATGCTGGTGACTCAAATATTTACTCCGGTTATAGTAAGTCTGTTAAGATCAAATTTATACCTGATCTTAAAAAATGGCTACAATCTGTTGTTAAATGAGGCAAGGGGTGGTTTGTTAATTTTAACGCTTCAAAAACGAAACTGCTCTAGTTTATCAATCTGAGAGAACCTTCTTTAACTTCCATCAGCATGGCTGTTGCTAACCTCCAGGAGAATGATTCACTGCGCATTCTCGGACGAACATTTTGAGCTGAAAGGAAGTAGAAAGAGTATAGTGAATCAATTTCTAAGTCTGCAACTAAGTTAGTTCATTGTGTAGCGCTAGACAATTGTTCACGCCAGAATCCCTCTTACACGAAGGGTGTTGCAATAACTTGTAGCGACTTTTAAACTTGAATTAAGTTTAAGCATCTAAAGATTTTTTTCTTTCTTCTTTTAGATTTAACAACTTGAGTCTTTGGCAATTTCAACCATGGCATGATTAACAATCAAACATGTTAAAATTATCGAAGCCTATTACGAAAATGGACGTTCAAACAGAAATGCATTTCGTGCACTTCGCGATGTTTTGGTCAACATAATCGACCAACCGAGAGTGCAATTGGAATCGATGTAACGTTGTTGTGGAGAGGTCCAATTCCTGCGCGCGATGACGAATAGAGGGGTCTGGATTTTCGGCCATTCTCGTGTTTTCAGCTGAACGGCGTAAACTAGCACGCAATGGTGTTTTCATATCTGCCACCGACCCAGTTTGTTTGAATTTATGAATAATTTTTCTAATTGCACTTTTGTGACATTGTTTGATTATTAACCTTTCCATTGTTAAAATTGCCAAACACTTCAGTTGTTAAATTTGAAAGAAAAAGAAAAAAAATGATTAGACTCTTAAACTTAATTCACATTTAAAATCGGTTGAAGTTATTGGAACACCCTTTTATAAGTCTACCATTTGTCCTTGCTTTGAATACCACTTCTACATCTGCGCCAATGCTGCTGCTATATATTTAGAGATTCTTGATAAAATCGAAAGAATCTGTAATATTATTGGCCCCTTTTCTACCAGCGTGACGTTGCTTCCCTGTGTCATCTCTATAAATACTTTCCTGGTAATTGTTCTGATGAACTTTCCTCTACGGTATTTAGACTTTATCAATTTTAGCGCAATAGTAGGCTGGAGGCAAGGCCTCATCCTTTTCCCACTTGAAATAGCTAAATATAACCGCAAGTTCTATACTAACAGTTTCTTCTATTGCGCTTCTCGCTTGTGTGAGTCTCTTCCGGCTTTTTCTTTCCAGACAGTCATCTTCAAAAATTTAAAGGTAATGTCAATTTGTTATCTTCTGTATTCTTCATGCTAGTTCTTTTATGGTTCTCTGTTTAGTAAGTAGGTTTTTTTTCCTCATATTCTCTAACACTCTGTAGCCTCTTGCTTCCTAGTGGCTTTATTGCCTTGATTGGTGTGAAATGATTAACAATATTTTATGAATCTCTTAATGCTTAATTGTTTATTTTTTTAAAAAAACATCTTGCTCTCCTCAATGCCGAAATCACTCATGGCATTTAATTTCTTAGTTGCAATGATTCTGACCTTCACAGCTAAGACCGCCCCTTGTCATGTACACGGGGACAAAATGGAGTCCATTCTCTCATAATCCATTAGGCAGAAGGAAGTTCCACTGGGAGACCTTCTTCGCAGGAAACGTCCGAGGGGATGTTTGCCTGCTCATGAAGATCTTAATATTGTAAAGTTTAGGGTTAACCGTTGTCCAACCTACATGTCATAATAAACTACACTTTCTATCTCCTCCTCTTACACTTACAACTTCATTCAGTAACGCTATATCACGAGTGGCTCTTGGAGTTTGATCATCAGTAAAAGGGTGAAGATCAGTCAAAATTTGAATCAGATATTCTAACTTTGATTCAGTGATTCCTGTTATATATCTTTACCCAGACGAACGGAAAATTGGCTCAAAATCGAACCGCAATACAAAACTCTACATCTATTTTAAACGTTGACAAAAGCATAACAAAAGAAAACATTTCCTTTTATTGCTCGTACAAACAAAATAATTTACCTAGTTTTTATCCTGTCCTTTTTAGAATGGATTAAATCATACTAGTCATATATGAAAAATTATAAAGTCTTTCTCTTTGCAGCTTTAACAATACAACAAAACTGATGTTACTTTGAAATCATTACAAAGCTGCCCCTGAGTAAAATTGACTTAGTTACAATACATGTTACAATGTAACAGTAGCAACGTTACAAAATCTCTTCATTGTTTATTTAATCGTTTTCATGAATACCAGATATACTGAAACATTATCTTGTTTTGAAAAGAAAACCTTTTTTTGTAATTACTTTGTTTTTTTTTTATTTCTCATTTTTTTCCCGAGTGGCAATTTCTTCTCTCATCCTTTCAATGAAATGTTGTCATAGCATTTTTATAAGATTGACTTTCCTAACAAACGTTGTTTTCGTTATATACACTAACACATTTAATAGGAAAGAAAAAAATACATAAATCATTAAAATTAATTTATCTCATCGGTAATAATTCTTCTTGTGCCTATCTTTTCTTTTTCCTCATTCTCTTTTTATCTTCTTTTTCTTCCTTTTATTTTTCCTATTCTCTTTTTCTTCTTCATTCTCTTTGAAATATTGTTCTTCTTTTCTCTCTTTTTTATTTTCCTATTCTTCATTCTCTCTTTCTTCCATTCTCTTTTGAAATATTGTTCTTCTAGTCTAATTTTTCCTCTCTTTTTCATTCTTTTTTTCTCATTTCATTTTTCTCTTCTTCTTCATTCTCTTTTTTCTTCTTCTTCTTCTCATTCTCCATTTCATCTCATTTTTTCTTCTCATTTCTTCTTTTCTTCCATTCTCTTCTCATTTTGTCTTCTAATTCTCTTCTTTTCTTACTCTCATTTTTTCTCATTTCTTCTCATTTTTTTCATTTTCTCTTCTCATTTTTTCATTTCTTCTTTTCGCCATTCTCTTTCTCTTTTTACATAATTTTCCTCTTCTTCCTTTTCATTTTCTTCTCATTTTCTTCTTTTTTTTTTCTTCTCATTTTCTTCTCTTTTTTTTCATTTTCTTCTCATCTTCTTCTTCAACATTCACTTTTTTTTCATTCTCTTCTCATTTTCTTCTCATTCTCTTCTCATTCTCTTCTCATTCTCTTCTCATTTTCTTCTCATTCTCTTCTCATTCTCTTCTCATTCTCTTCTCATTCTCTTCTCATTCTCTTCTCATTTTCTTCTCATTCTCTTCTCATTTTCTTCTCATTCTCTTCTCATTTTCTTCTCATTCTCTTCTCATTTTCTTCTCATTCTCTTCTCATTTTCTTCTCATTCTCTTCTCATTTTCTTCTCATTTTCTTCTCATTCTCTTCTCATTTTCTTCTCATTCTCTTCTCATTCTCTTCTCATTTTCTTCTCATTCTCTTCTCATTTTCTCTTCCATTTTCTCTCATTTTCTTCTCATTCATTTCTTCTCATTCTCTTCTCTCTTCTCATTCTCTTCTCATTTCTTCTCATTTTCTTCTCATTTTTCTTTCTCTTTTCATTTTCTTTCTCTTCTCTTCTCATTTTCTTTCATTCTCTTTCATTTTCTTCTCTTCTCTCATTTTCTCTTTTCATTTTCTTCTCAATTTTCTTCTCATTTGTTCCTCCTCAGTCTCATTTTTTTCATCTTCTTCATTTTTCCATTCTCTTTTTCTCCCTCGTTCTATTTTTTCATTCGTCTTCTTCTCTCATTCTCTTTTTTTCTTCATTCTCTTGTTCCTGTTCTTTTCATCTTCATCTTCTTCTTCGTTCTATTTTTTTCTTCTTTATCCTTTTTTTTTCATCATTCTGTTCTTTTCTTCTTCATCGTCGTTTTTTTCTTCATTATCCTTCTTCTTTTCTCTTATAATTCATGTGATTCCTTTTATCTTGTTTTTGATTCTCTTCTTCTTTCTTTTTCTTCTTCAAATTCGTTTTCCCTCCTCGTCCTTCTCCTCCCCTCTTCTTCTTCTTCTTCTTCTTCTTCTTCTTCTTCAGAATGTATTAGTAGTTGAACTATAAGCCGTAGTGTTGGTGGCGATGAGCACTTCAGTCGCCTTGGGTTGGGTATCTTTAGTAAAAGTTTTACATTTTTTAGTTGTTATGGAGACAGAGTACATTTATAAAAAAATATCTGAACTAAAACATTTCCAAGTCAGCGTCTGTCTTCGCCTGAGGGCGACAAATCCAAGAAAAAAATCATTTCTATTGTAAGCTTACAAAACGACACGTAACCAAATGCAGACTTACTTATTTCCTTTCTTTCTTTTTATAACATTTTATTTATAACTAACATACAATCATATATATTTCCTCTATCAATATCTATCTATTCATCTATCTGTTTTTAATCATTCAAAACTAAGCAAGGTGATAACGTCACTAAGTCACAAGGAGCTACTGAGAGTTATAGAATAAGAAAAAAATCATTATTGATGAGAAAGGATGATAAAAGAACTGGTTTCAAGGGGACATAAGATGATGGTTGACATTAGACTCCGCAGCTGACAGGAAAGAAAGTAGCCAACAGGGATTTCCACAGGCTATAAGTGTAAAATAAGAAAACTTTGGCAGAGAACTTCCGGTTACATGTAGCATTTTTAACAGTAAAATGATGACTTAATTGCTAATCTAGCGCTGCACCTACACGCTTGTGCAAATTAAAGGAAAAAAAATTAATAATTCATTATTATTTATTTTTTTTTCGTAATTTCAATGAAAAGATGCCCCAGTGCATGTTAGTACTTCATATGTCCATTCTACGATATCGTTCCTTGCACACTAACCAAAGATTCTCGATTGGATTTAAATCAGAAAATTTAGTATTTTGATTTGCTCACTGGTACGGTTTGCCAGTGTGTTCATGTTGCGTTATAGTTTCCGTACGCCTCCTTGGAGTAACGTTCATCGGAGACGATGACCGTAGGACAAATAATCGACAGTCGAGACAATAGTTTCTGCGCATGATGAAAATCTATTTGCAATCACAGATGACGCAATAAATTTCAAGGCCAAACAAATTACATCATACACCGGAAAATAGATTCATATTACTCACACCACTGCAAATGACCTAATCTAAGGAAAAATAGAAATCGATTACACCCTGTCACTGCAGTGTGTCTAAACTGGTCGTATGATGAAAGAAAACTAAAGCGGTTGTTTGAAATAATTTGCGCAAGGGCGTTGATTCGTGAATTCGAAAGGTATTAAAGGAATGATTAGAACATGAAAATATTTGTAGAAATGCACAAAAAGCTGCATTACGGTGGGGCAGGGGAATGGTGTCTGAAGCCGAGATGTCAGGTCAGGATCGATAGAATTTTCAGATTCTTCTTTGAATTGTGCTGAATCTTTAAATACATAGCTGAAGACCCAAACAGATGGTGGCAGCAATATTCGATGCACAAACGAATGGTAGAATTATAAATATACGTAATAGAGATTCGGGCAATAATAATTATCTCGAACAACACTGTGAGAAAAAACTTCCTAGATTAAGATCGATCTACAACTTCTTTATTCATAACTAACATATATGTTATTCTATACGCATTTTTCTATTCAAATAGCTAACTCATTTGACTCATATCTATCTATCTATCTGATTCAGTTCATCTATCTATCTTATTCTGCTCATCTAATTCTATCTATCTAACTCGTACTGTTCATCTAATTCTATCTATCTATCTATCTATCTATCTATTTCTTACTGTTCATCTAATCTATTTCTTACTGTTCATCTATCTATCTATCTATCTATCTATCTAATTCATATTTCTTACTGTTTCTATCTATCTAATCTAATTCTATTCTATCTATCTATCTATCTCGTACTGTTCCTCTAATTCTATCTATCTATCTATCTCGTACTGTTCCTCTAATTCTATCTATCTATCTATCTCGTACTGTTCCTCTAATTCTATCTATCTATCTCGTACTGTTCCTCTAATTCTATCTATCTATCTATCTCGTACTGTTCCTCTAATTCTATCTATCTATCTATCTCGTACTGTTCCTCTAATTCTATCTATCTATCTAGTACTGTTCATCTAATTCTATCTATCTATCTCATTCTGTTCATTAAATTCTATCTATCCACACACACACACACACACACACATATATATATATATATATATATATATATATATATATATGTTAGATAAAAATCTTAGGAATTATAATTTAGCCTGGTACCAAGATTCTCTTTTCAAGGGTGGCATTTACCGTCCAAGAAAGTCAATGTTCCTAGTCTTTTAAATTGAGCTCGAAATTCTGTCCGTTGCCAGTGGGAGCGTTCTATTGTCCTCCATTTCTATTTATTAACATCACTTTTATCAGCACAGATGGGCGCCTGAGCAGTGAGAATCTACGAGATAAAATTTAACTGCAGATCAATCCTGCCATACTCGCATCATATACAAACTTGATATTAGTGAAATTGTCGCTATTTTTTAAATTTGCGCGTAGCCGTTGATTGTTTAGTTATCGGCTATTACAGTAAAGTTGATTCAGTTGGGCCCCCCGTCTGTGAAAAAAGAGCTACTTGACGCGTTTCATTTGTCCAGAAATTTGGAAGCAGCATGCTCTGCTTCTCAGCATTCTGGCCTTAGCTCAAACGAACATTCAGGGTATTTGGGTGTCAATCTGAGGGACAGTGAAATAGATTCGGAAAGGTTGGATTTCTAATGGTGATTACAAATGTTACGGCGTTGGTAAAACTCTGAGTTTGTTCTGATATGAAAAAGATTTTCTAAAAGAAATTTTTTTGATAAGGGGCCTCAGATATAAACAGGGATTCTTTCACATCAGGTAACGTACAAAGGGTGCATTTGAACTGGGTCAAGAACATGGCTGCCTGAGTTAAGCCCTATGTCAGGCAACAGAACTCTCCCTCTGCAAATAATAGAAGCGAAAGTCTATTTTTAGTTTCAGATATTTTCTGAGAAAACCGTCATCAAATTCCCCTTTATTTTGTTTGTTGATTTAATAAAATTTTGAAAGTTTACTGAGCATTGATATATAAAATGATTCCAATTATATATCGTCATATAATAGTGAATTTAAACGTTACATCCCAAACAGTTATACATACATGTAGATCATACGACAACATTCATTGACTAATCTCCTCAAAACTAGTTTGCTGATTGGTCAATTAACTAATCAAATGCCGGCATATGAGGAATAATATTTCCGCACAAAAACGTTAAGAGCCTGTCACATGATACATTGTATTACCAAAACGAATAAGCCCTCTCTCGTGTTTCTTTTCATTCATCTTTTTCCTTACTGCCCATTATGTAATCTTCAAAGAACTCCTGTCTAAACCGTTCAGACGTAAAGATCATTATCAACAACTCTTACCGACTTTTGTGTCGTTATAGAGTCCAGCTATTACGCCTGTCCCCTCAAATCCACGACTTTACTCTCACAACGCACACAGACACAGCTTTTTTATATCACATTGCACATATCTTCCTTTCATGACTCATCAAGTTCATGAACCACCCTCTTTCTTTTTCAAAACAACACACTTCTTAATTAACTGTATTCTGTTCTAACACCAGACTCTATTCAACGCAGAATCAGAACATTCTTATTCAAGAGAATTTCTTTTGAACATTCAATCTTAAATCAGAATATAGTGAAGGGAAACAACTTTTTCTCCCATAATTACTACACCATTGTATGATTCTTTTGTATGTTATTGTTTGAATATATATTTTCTTGTTTATGCTTTGTTTGGAGTCTCGTTTTTTTTCTTGAATCATTTAAATATAATAGATAAATGCTCTCAGAACACGCTGGCCATTTTGATAGTCCTCCAACGCATAAACCAAAGTAGCATTTACAATATCATATATATATATATATATATATATATATATATATATATATATATATATGAAATAACTGAAAAAAAAAGAACCTGATGTTTAATTCTCCATCGCCAAATTCAGTGAATTTAAATGCTCTAATAGACTGTGGAAACTTACTGAATACTCCTAAACGTTTGCTATATGAACCCATTGATTACTATTTTAACACTTAATTCTGGCCATTTTCTGTGTATCAATATTGAAAACAACGCTAAATTACGGCATGGGAAATAAAAAGCCGTCATATTTTTTTATTTTTTTCTTATATTTGAGGATATTTAAATATTATTGTGTATAAATGCACATACAAACACTGCCACATATAAGTGGCATACGTTATATAATAATAAATACATGATTTGTGTTTGAAAGCAATGACTTATTATTGACGGACACCCACCAATTCTCTGCCATTAGATGACTTATAACCTTTATACAAAATTTATTGGTATGCGAACAAACTGATGTATCAATTTAAAATAAATAAGATGTAGTGTATCGATTTTCTTTTTCAGGATTTTTTTGTATACGACTGGGGTGATGAAAAGTACTTTTGTCAATCGACTTTAAAACTAATTTATCTCAAAGACCAAATAACGTTTTCGAAAAAAATTAAAGAAACATTGCACTACTCCTTACGTGACTTTTAACCGATGTTCTTCGTGGAATAAAATTTACTTTTACATGGCTCTATTATGTTGATCAGGGCAAAATCATTCAGTATCTATAAATCACCCTCTCTTTTTCTCGCTCTCTCTAATATATATATATATATATATATATATATATATATATATATATATATATATGTGGATAAAAGATAACTGGAAAATACATTTGTTTACCGACGCATTTCGTCAATCCAGCGATTTATCAAGGCAAGTTTAAAAGCAAAATATTTTTTGGTCATTAAAATCAAAATAGTGGAAGGCTTCTTTTAAAGACTCATTCTGGATATTGGAATTTTTTTTTTTACTAAAATTTTTAATAAAAAACCAACAATATACGAAGTAAACCTAAGAACTTTCATTAATATTTTGATTTTGATATAATAAAAATATTTGGCTTACAAACGTGCTATAATAAGTCAGAATGACAATAATATATAAGCAATTAAAAATATATTTCCCAAATGTCTTTTTTATTCAAATTATCTTATCTTTAGAATTATTCAGAGAAATTTAACACACACACACACACACACACACATACATATATACATATATATATATATATAATGAAATAACTACTATTTAAAAACCAATTGTCTATTCAAATATGACTATAAACCGAAATAGCGTTTGAAAGAATATATATATATATATATGAATATATGTTTTTGTGTATATATATATATATATATGAATATGTGTTTTTGTGCTATATATGAATATGTGTTTTTTGTGTGTATATATATATATATATATATGAATATGTGTTTTTTTTGTATATATATATATATATATGAATATGTGTTTTGTGTATATATATATATATATATATGAATAAATGTTTTTTATTATATATATATATGAATATGTGTTT